GCACAGCGCAGGGCAGGCCCGATCCAGGCAGCAGCTCCCGCCAGTGAGACAGGTTTGCTGTTTTCCCCAGGGAACGCCAGGAAAGCAGCAGGGCGGCGGAGGCGGGCAGGCGTGCGTGAGTGCGCAGGGGAGCAAGCCCCGGTCAGGTCTGACTGGGTTTACTGGGTCACGACGGAAGCTGTGCGAGCGTGACTGTGCCGGCCTCAGCCTCCCACCGACAGCCAGCCGGCACAGCACACCCAAACGAGCCGGCCCGGTCGGCACCTCCTTAAAATCCCCACCATCAGCATCTCTGGAGGCGCAAAAAGCTTTTGATGAACGAATTCCCCAGTAGCAGGCCTCACCACTCTGGATCCAGCCAAAGAAACTAGCCGTGCCATGCAGCTGCTGCACCCCTTGATGGCTAACGTGCTGGGCACCTCTGCCAACCTCAGTGACCCCTTCCCGCTGCCCCATGGTCCTCAAAGTCACGAGGCTGCAAAACCTGGGAGCAAGAGCCAGCTGCAAGCTGTGGTGCAGTGAAGCTGCGCTGTCAGTGGGGCTGGCAAATATGGAGGGGCCTCAGCTGGGGTCTTATGGGCCCCCCACAGCTGTTTGCTCAGCAGCACACCCAGAAAGCAATCCTGGCTTTTTAATTTAAAGGGAACCCAGGAGAAATGATGGAAAGGCTGGGTGGGAGCAGCCCTTCTCTGGCTCACCCCGAGCATCCATCCTGGATGGTGAGACAGAGATTTGCAGTGTGTGATCAGACACTTCCCCATCCCACTGCTCTGTGGACAACTTGTGGTAGCTCCACCGAGACATCATGTACACCTTGCTTTTTCACAGTAACCCAGCCCAGGTCCTCCAAGCTCCATGTAGTTTTACTTACCAAGGCCAAGCCTGGCACACGACCCCCCCCTTCCCCCACTTGCTCCCTGACCCACGTTCCCACCAGCTCAACACCAATTTATCCCCTGGGGAGCCACGCGAGTTGCCCACGAGTTCAGTAAAAACAGCCTGACCTGTTCCCAGCACTGGGGTGGAAAAGAGCTCACCCCGGGGGACAAGGCAGGAGAGCTCCCGGCTCCCAGGCGTGGGAACAAGCCAGCGATTTAAGGGAAAAGAGCCATCCAGCGAGAGGTGACCCTAGCCCGTGGCTGGCTGCAAGCACAGCGTGTTTCAGGCCCCCCTTTCCCTGGAGCCGGCAGACCTTGAGTGGGAAATCCTGCGAGATGCAGGAAGAGGCACCGGGATGGAGGTTGCCAGGCAACTTTAATTCAGCCCTTGACGAACTTCCAGCACTTCGCTTCTGCTGCAGAGCCCAACCAGCAAATGATAAAACATCCGCAGGTCCACCCCCTGCCCATAGCATCCATCTGTCCATCACAGGGATTTGCTCATGGCATCGTGTCTGGAGTGCCCTGCAAGGTGATGGATACCCCCAGCAGCATCCCTGAAGGCCGGCCTGTGATGACCTGCTCTTCCCGGCAGAGATTTGCAGGGGCAGAGTTTGATCTGTGGGACAGGGCTGGCGCTGCTGCACAGATATTTCTCAACCAACTGGGATTTTTGTCAACAACAGCAAGAAAAAAATGCTAACTTGCTGAAAGCCCTGCGGGAAGGAGGGATCTGTGCTGGGTTTGGGGGCTGGGGCTGGGGAGGGAAGGAGCACAGTGACCTCCCAGGAGCTCCTCGCCAAGTTTATTTTAGTGGCTTTCTTTAAACAAAACCATGCTCGACCCTGAGGCACTTCAGCATACACGCAAGAGAGCTTTGGTGATTCAGGAAGCAGATATGTCTCTCCTTTACCCAAATTTGGGATTCAGGCACAGAGGAGGGGAGGGAGAGTGGTGACATCCGCTCCCATCAAGG